GAATTTCAACCATGGCCTCAGCTCTGACACTGGTGTGAGTATTAAGAGCGTCAGTCCTAACAATGATGATATCATTTGAAAATGGGCTTCAACTGAATGATTTCCTGGTTATTTTCCATGAGGACAGGATGTGTCTTCACTTGTTCAGTAAAGATCAAAGCATCAGGATAAGGGGAAGTCACCATAAGAACAAAGAAAAACACTGTCTTAATTCATTGTTTGTGTGTTCGCATGTGCCTATGAGGGAGGGGGTCCAGCTGTTAAAAAAAAAAAAGTTAGTGATAATTTTTTACCAGGAATTCCACTTCATTGTTCACAGTATGTGCTTCTAACTCCAGAAGTGAATTGTAGGAATAGTAATGAGAAACTGCCCACTGAAGTACTGAAGGATAAGAATTTTCCAGGAAAACTCAGGAAGGTTTTTAAATGAGAACCTAGTACCTGCAGCCCAGAGTCATGAGAGGGCACATATGTGGCAGGAACTGCAAAGTCCAAAGCATATGAGTGCTCAGCCCTGTGCTATACTAAATCACAGAACCAGATCAGCCTGATTTCACAAGATACTGAATTTAACGTGGAGAATGAACAACCATTAGGGCCTCTTTTAATGCTAGGGCTTGAGCTGCCTCATTGCTGAACTTCCATCCTTCCCCCTGCCTTGGTACTAACTTCTGAGCTCTTGTGCTATTTAAAAGAACCTGAGTGCAGGGAAGGGCCAGGAAAAAAAACGAGGAAGCAGAGAAATACATTGCCACGCCTAGAGGCGCGGAGCCCTGGCGCCCTCTCCCGATTGGCTAGAGTTACCAGATCTCTGTCTATGATTGGCTGCTCCGGGCCTTGCCTGCTGCTCATTGGCTCCGGTACTGTGACCCCGGCCCGAGTCCTGCGGGAGACGCCTGGGAGTTGTGTCTGGGCCTTCTCCGGCTTTGGGCTCCAGGCGGTGGGCGCGGGCAGGGCTGGTAAGTGCTGAGCTGGCGGGACGCTACGGACCCTGGGCCGCTACGGACCCAGGCGCCTCCACCGGTATTATAGTTTCCGCCACGAAGCGCTAGTCCAGGTGGAGGAGGGAGGTGCGTTAGACAGCCCTGCTTCTGCTGAAGTCAGAGGTCCCGCAAACTAACCCTACCGGACCCTGTCCTGCCCGCTGCTCTGGGACGGCCCAGCGCCCTGCTGCCAGGTGATTACCTTCCCTGGCTGCTCCGAACCCCACAGGTTCCTGGCACCCCAACTCTGCCTCCCGTTTAGGGCCTGCCCTTTAGAGTCTGTTCCTGCTCCTCCCCCTTCCCTCCAGTGTCTTCTACACTGGCCCCTATCCCGCTAAAGACCTTGTTCAAGCAACTCCCTAGTTATTTGCTTTCTCAAAGTAATTTATGTATAATAATTATAATAAAAACATTAAGCAGGTCTTCTAGTGAAGAACAGTAGTTACTTGTCGCCAAAGCCTCTCCTCAGAGTCCACTTTTTAACTTTTCCATGTTTAGACCTTTGAGTGACCAAAAATCAAGATAATATGTTTCTGCTATGTTTCTTGATTTATCATTTTGTTATTTTTTGCCTCACTTTCTTCCTGCTGCCATCTAAATTTTCTATTGCATTTTGGTTCCTTTTTTTGCCTCACTTTCCTACTGTTGCCATCTAAATTTTCTATTGCATTTTGGTTCTGTTGATCTTTGTAGCTCTAGATAGTACAAACCTCTGTTGTTTTGTCAACTTTAGGCAGTAACTTGCACCCCACTGACTTATGGTGCCCCCACTTAGGAGGATATTGACACTTCTTCCACTTTGGGCCACGAGCAGCTGGACCTCAACATTTACATTTCATTCTAATGTATTTAATGCATATTTGAGGCACTGTTCTTTTCATTGGGATAGTAAGGCAAGGTCCCTCTCCACATGAAACTTTTGAAGATGACTGACAAATACATGGCAAGTGCTGTCAAGACCAGGAGTTTGCTAACCTCATTTCCACCTTGGGAGAACAGCAGGACCCCAAGTGGGAATGAATAAATGGTCATAGGATCTGCCACAAAGTGTCAAAGATCATCGTCTTTGTTTGGACTGGCCACCGGTTATGTTTTAAGGATGAAGGGAGAGAACTTTCTGTTGGGGAGCCAGGATAGGCTCTTGTGGGATCCAGTATCCTAAAACCTACTTTGATAGTAATGATGGGAGAAGGAAAAGTAGGAGGCACAGAGTCCAGTGATGAGGTATGACTTGCCAGTGGCCAATGACAGAGCCCTATAAGATTTTCTGCTCTGTTCCTTCTAGAGAGCCCTCCTTGATACCCCTAAACCGTAGTGGTCTCTCTGTTTGCTCTTGAATTTGTATTATACCTCAAAGCTAGAGAGATTAAGTAATTTGCCCAAAAGGGAATGGCCAAGCCCCATACCAAACATCTAGAAAATAATAATGGTTTCTACTTAGGGTTGTGAAATAAACCACAGTAATCCATGTAACATGCTCAGAACTGCATGAGGTGTAAGTGCTCAAGGAGTGCATGCTGTCATTAATGTATGAAATGTTTTAATTACCTAACAATTTATGAAAACATTTAGGTTTAGGAACTATTTCCTGTGACTAGTTAGTTTTTTCATTCAGCAAATATTTATATAGCAAACTCTGCATGACAAACACTGTGAGGTGTAAAGGATACACAGAGACTAAGACCAACCTAACCTTTCCCTTTACAGTCTCTAGCTGGTAACACTGACTTGCAAAGTTAGCGAATAAATATGACAATGCAGACAAGAGTTTGCCATTGCTCATTCGAGTCCATACCCATATGTGGTTTTACCAGAAATCCCAGGTTTCTTGCTGGTATATCACTTTACCAATACAGATTTCATTATCAAATGGCCTTTGTTTTTATCTTCCAAGGAATGTTATTTCATCTCTGCTTCTAACATTTCATTGAAGGCTAAGGAGAATGCCTTGGCATCTTGGTGAATAATAAGTAATAATTATGTTAACTGAAGGACCAGCAGATGGCATAATGGTTACATCATTGGACTCCCATATGGTTGACTGCAGCTCAAGTCCCAGACCCACCAGCTGGAAACTCAAACCGGGTGTGTGTGCATGCATGCCCAAAATCCCAAGAGGAGAATGGAAGAGAAGAGATTGCAGCATGGCCATCCCCCTAAGGAGGATGATTTCTAATTTTCTGTCTCTCTACCCCTGTCTGTCTCTCTGGCAAGCGCATCATCCTATAGTAAAAAAATCTCTCTTTAAAAAAAAAAAAAAGTATGTTAGCTGAAAAAATGCCAGGGGTTTACAGGGAATGGGGAAGGAACTGCTGTTTTCCTTGCACTTCACATTTAGTGTGCCACTTGAGAAAACAACTTGAGCATATAGGCAATGGACTTCTGGCATATTGCTTTTCTGCACCTTAAAGTATATAAATGTACATATAAACATACCAGAGAAAAAGGCTAGAGGTATTTTTGGCCTTTGGGTCACAGAAGCATCCCGTTTTATGTGACCTTACCCAAGTTCAAGAGAAACAGTGTTGATCTGTAGAGCATGATTGCAGTAGGAGTGGTCTGAAAGAGCAAATCCAGAGGAAACTCCAAGACGGCCAGATGAATGAAAACAGTTTCCAACATCCATTTGCCTAGCCATCTTCAGATGTCCTTTCCATGGTGTGACTCATGTGAACTTTTCAGTTGGGAAAGCCATTGCTTATTAAACAAGATCAATAAGGGATCCAAAGAAGCATTTTTTAGTCACTAATTATCCTTTAGACAGAGCCCTCTGTTTTGTTACCTTTTGCTCTTATTTTTCTTTTTCTTTATGTTTTTTTTCAGCTTTCACTGCCTCTCTCTGATTTTATTTGTGTTCTGCAGAGGGTGTGAGAAGAAACCATGGATCCTGCAGCCTTGGTAGAGGCTGTTGTGGAAGAAGTGGCCTGTCCCATCTGCATGGCCTTCCTGAGGGAGCCTGTAAGCATCGATTGTGGCCACAGCTTCTGCCACAGCTGTCTCTCTGGACTCTGGGAGGCCCCAGGAGAATCCCAGAACTGGAGTCACACCTGTCCCCTTTGTCGAGCCCCTGTCCAGCCAAGGAATCTGCGGCCTAATTGGCAGCTGGCCAGTGTTGTAGAAAAAATCCGTCTGCTAGGGCTGCGTCTAGAAGTGGGGCTGAAGAGTGATGTGTGTGAGCTCCATGGGGAACAGCTAAAGATGTTCTGCAAAGAGGATGCCCTGGTTACATGTGAAGCCTGCAGTCGGTCCCCAGAGCATGAGGCCCACAGCATCGTGCCCATGGAAGATGTGGCCTGGGAATACAAGGTAAGAGAGAGAGGCTATCACTCCATTCTTTGGCTACCACTCACTTGGCTGTCTCTACATCAAGACCTTGACTCCCAGCCCCAGAGACTGAGAGCTGATTCTTTTGACTTCTGGCACCAACAGATCCCTGAAACCTGATACAGTGAGCTACACCTTTCCTTGTATGAGGGTACTTCAGAATGTTCACGGAAAAATGGAATTAAAGTACAAGTTTATTTTGATGCAAAAAAAAAAAAAATTAAATCCATCCAGAGTTTTTTCATAATACCCATTTTCCATTAATGTTTTGAAGTCCCCTCATAGTCATGACTTTCTTCTCTCCCATTTCTAGAACCTACCCTAATCCCAATATGACTTAATGCCTAACCTAAAGATGACTCTACTACTGAGAATTTGAGGGAGACCTGTTTGGTTATAGCTGGGGTTCTGGGTGTCTCAGATGAGCTTGGATATCAGACTGTGACATAGCTAGTCAAGTCTGCATGTCACCTACAAACTCCTTCTCACAGTGCCACCGTCATTTGACAGTAGGTAACTTACTTTAACTCCTTCATTTTATAGACAAAACTGAGGATTGAAAAATTTGAGCCCATGATTATTTATTTTTGGACTAGAAGAGACCATGGGTGAGTCACTTGGGATTAAATGAGTTTACCTGATATATGTACATCCTCCTTTTCTTTAGAGAAGTAAGTTAAAGGAAAATGGAAATCTATGGCTCAGGTGTTCTTGTTCTTTGATAAATGTTTTATCCCAAGTTCTTCTGTTTGTGTGTGTGTGTGTTTTTGTTTTTTGGTTTTGGTTTTGGGTTCGGTTTTCCTGGACAAGACATCTCTGATGCACCTGCTACTCCTTTTGTTTTTATGGCTAACCCTCATTGGCTCCCAGCTTCCAGGACTTTCCTTGCCCTTTCCTCAGATCTCCACATATCTACCACTGCTGTTACCCAATTATCCTGTGATCCATTCCAGGTTTTAACTCTCTTTCTTGGAGTTGAGATTAGAAGGTAAGAGTGTAACATGTTGGACTGGCCCTGTGGCCCAGTAGTTAAGGGAAGCGGATCTCACATGGCTTACTGCTATTTAAATCCCAGCCCCAGTGGCTTGAAACATATGCCAGATGTATATGTGTGTGCCCAAAGTCACGATGGTATGCAGAAATGGAGAAGGGATTGTGGCATGACCACACCATTTTTGGGGTGGTTTTTTTCATCATTCTCTACTTCTGTCTCTGTCTGGCATATGCCCTCTGGCAATCAAAAAAAAAGTATAACATGTTTTCATTCATATATGGAAACTAAATAATTTATGCTCATGTAAGTAAAGAATGGAATAATGGCTACTAGATACTAGGAAAGTAGGCAAGAGGGAGCAATAGATGTTGGTTAGCTGGTGCAAAATCACAGGGAAGAGGAATAAGTTCTGGGGTAATAACATATATCAGAATAGCTAAAAAAAAGGATTTGAATGTTCACAACACAAAGCAATGATAAATTTTTGTGATGGTGACTATACTACTTATCTTGGTCATTATATTTGTATACTGAAAAATCATACTATACCCATAAATATATAAAATAAAGGGCCGAAAAAAATAATTTTTTTTAAAAAGAAAAAGAGAACATAGGCATGTAAAACTAATTTCCCAAATTAGTTTTTTCTTCAGAGGGGAGAATTTTTGAACCGTTAAATGTAATTAGTATACTCACTTTATATTTTAAAAAGTATTAGAATAGGGAAGGGTTATAGCAGAAAGATTAAGAGCTTGGTACCAGCCCAGCCATTTACTAGCTGTACTGGCTAAATAACTTTGGATTGGCACTCTCTAAGCCTCATTTTCTTATCTATAAAATGAGGATAACCCCACTCTCAAGGAATTGTGATTGTTAAATACATGTTTAGTGAGTAAGCCATGTCTTGTACTTAGTAATGTTTACTGTTAGCAAAATTAAAAGTGCCAAGTGGGTCAGCTGGTGACACAATAGTTAAGGCAGTTGAATTCCACATGACTGGCTTGCAGTTCAAGTCCCAGATGTGGTGACTTGAGAAACACTCTGGGTGTATTGTATAAATATCCAAAATCCTGAAAGGAGAGAAGAAGGATTGCAGCATAACTATGTCCCATAGGAGGGATGAGGGGGAGGTGCTTTCTCACTTCCCTCCTCTCTCTCTCTCTCTCTCTCTCTCTCTCTCTCTCTGTCCCTCTCCAGTAAGCACACATGCTCAAAATTTAAAAAAAAAAAAATTTAAATGTTATCTGAATAGTTCATGCTTTCCAGGAGAAATCTCTTGCATTACTATCCTAGAACAGTGCTTCATTCTTTTAATGTATGTATGGACCACCCAGGGACCTTGTGAAATTCAGAATTTCATTGAAATTTGGGGTGAGGCCTGAAGTCTATATTCCTTTTTTTTTTTTTTTTTTTTTTTTCTAATTTACTAGGGAGAGATGAGCAAACACTACCACCCACCTTTGAGAGGAGATGGCCACACCACAATCCCTTCCCCTGCATTCTCCTCTTGGGATTTTGGGTACATACACATACACGCTCAGAATACTTTTCAGCCCTCCACGTTCAGGACTCAGACTATGCAGTCAACCATGTGGGGCCCAGCTGTCTTAACCACCATATCACCAGCTGGCCAGAGAGTCAACATTCTAACAGACTTTCAAATGATGCTGATGCTGCTGACTCCTTTAGACCACGGTTCGAAAAGGATTCTGGCAGACCATAGGATAAGGGGAGATAGATAAGAGGAGAAGAGTAGGGATAAGAATGGCTGGTTTTCTAGAAAGGTTGAAAATGGACCTTTCCTTCAACTTTACAGACACTTGAGGCTATAGGAGTCGAAATGACCTTCAACTCATAGAGACATTTTCATTGGATGTGCTCTGAGCAGTCTGCCCACCCTGTAGCATTCTCTTTCCTCCCAGCACTTATTCGGGTCCATTGCCTGAAAGACACTAGTTTTCCCATCACCTACATTGCTGAGAAGTCTTGTCAATGCCCAGGCTGCCTAAGGTGGCCTCATGAATTTTTATCTCTTGCAGTGGAAACTCCACGAGGCTCTGGAACATCTGGGGAAAGAACAAGAAGAGGCCTTGAAACTGGAAGTTGTCGAGAGGAAGCGAACTGCTAACTGGAAGGCAGGTTGCCACCTGGGGAAAGGAGTTAGTGTTGTATTTGTGTTTACTGTAGCTGGCCCATGGCAGCTTCCATATTGCTGAGGCACAGTGTGGAGCTTTGGAGTCTTGGAACCCCAGCCAAGGAATCTGGGGTGTAGTGCCAGCTTCCCCTTTACCAGGAGTATGGCCTTAAGCGGGCCAGGTAACCTTTAAATTTCAGTTTCTTTGTTGTGATAAAGGAACAACCTCTATTCTTATGTCCTCATAGATAAGAAAGGAAAATTGTGTGATTCACATATATACTAGTTTACAGGGGTGTGACTTGTATAATGCATAGTAAAGTGTAGCTTCTATTTCACTTTCTCCAGTTGGAGCGTATTTGCCAAGGGTTCAGTTATTAAAATATTACAAAATCAGGGACCAGCAGGTGGCATGGTGGCTAAGTGCACTGGACTCCCTCACTTTCTCTCTCTCTCTCTCTCTCTCTCTCTCTGGTCAAATTAAAATAATATGATGATGAATAAAATGAAATAAAATAATTCCTAAAAAATATTACAAAATCACCTCTGAAATAAATTTGAGGTTGATGACTACCAAACTATTAGAACTTTGATCAACAGAAGGAAACATTGAACAGATCTAAACAAATCTAAACATTGAACTTATTCGATACCAACAAGAAGAAAAATCAACTAGCATTGGAGCTGCACTGCCTTCGAGGCTTAAGTGGGGCACATCTGGTAGTTATTCTGAAGGTAGAAGATGGTCTAGAACATAGATTACCAGCATAATCTCCTGGAGCATACTAGGCTTAATAAGAGTGGTAACAGGGACTCAAAAACATGCAGCAGGGCTATGGCAACAGACAGATAGGAAAAATAGCATCCTTATCTTTGCCTCTACAGTATCTGGCATGTGTTTGGTACCCAAACATTCCAGAGTAGGTGTGTGTGCCTATTCCAGAGTCCTCAATCCTGTGACCCTCACACTAAAACTAGAAGTGCTGATTTCCATCTTGACTCTGCAGATACAAGTGGAAACCCGAAAACAAAGTATCATGTGGGAGTTTGAGAAATATCAACGATTACTAAAGAAAAAACAACCTCCAGGTCGGCAGCTGGAGGTAGAGGCCGCCACGGCTCTGGCCAGCCTAGAACAAGAGGTGGAGGAAACAATGCAGAAACTGAAGTTGAATCATGATCAGCTTATCCAGCAGAGCCGGGTCCTATGGAGAATGATTGAAGAGCTGGAAGAGAGAGCTCAGAGGCCTGTCCGCTGGATGCTGCAGGTGAGTGGTAGGTCTTCCTTAAGATTGAATTGGAACTGAAGATAGATGGAACTCCAGGAGAGAGGATTAGGTAGTCTTCCAGGGGGCCATTAGCACTCTGCCAGAGTCATAGAGGCCATGCACCCCAGCTAATACCTGGTATTCTCCTGCCCTGCCTAGTTGGATGGGTAGGTAGCCTGACCTGTTGCAGCATCCTAGGTGGAGCAGCACCAGGCAACTCCAACTTCATCCCGTTCCCTTCTCTGTCTCAAGAGATTGTCCAGCTACACCCCCACCTGTGCTGTTGCTATTCCCTATGCTTCTCCCCAGCCTTGGTGTCTGTCTCCCTTGCTGTACAGAAACTCCCTCCCAGATTCACTATCTGCCTCTTCTCCCCAAAGAGTGGCATGTGCTAATATTCTGTGCCTTTTCTCTTACAGGGTATTCAGGAAGTCATAAACAGGTATGTTCTCATCCCTAGAGCCTATAGGTAGCACTATGAGAGACAGTGGGTCCTGGCCAGAGCCAGAAATGAGGAAGAAACATAAACTCATACATAGATGCGGGTACTGACCCACAGTCTCCTCCTTCTGATACTGAATTAGCCAATGAAATTTTTTCAGTCTTCCCTTTTTTTCTTTTTCGTGTTTAATCAAATTTATTTCAGGTATTACCAATAAGAACTTCAGGTAAAGTTTAAAAATACATGGTTTTAAGTAGGTTGCCTAGAGAAAGAAAAGACTGGCTGAAAGCTCTGAGCTCTGAGTATCAGCCTTTCTCCTTTGTGGCATCCTTCCTACCCTCCCACATCTAGATGTCAGAGACACATCTAACCCTTCCCACAGCGTGGGGATGTGAACATTCTTATCTCCATGCCACAGTCTAAGGCTCAGCACATCTCTACTTTGCTAGGGAGGGGTGCCTCGCTGCTATATCCCCAGCCAAGCCCCCCTTCCCTGTTCTGAGAGAAGACATGTGTGGCAGAGCCAGGGCTCCTGGCCCAATGACTCACCCTCCTCTACCAGGGGCAAGTCTTGGAGCCTACAACAGCCAGAACCAGTCTCCTTGGAGCTGAAGACAGATTGCCGTGTGCTGGGACTAAGAGAGACCCTGAAGATGTATGCAGGTATTGGATGCTGGGGAGACTGTGACAGGCTGTGGGAGGGACCTGTCCAGAAAGATGCAATGGCTCAATGCCTTCTGAGTGCCTTATCTAGCCCACCCCACCCACCCATCATTGTGAAAGCTATGGCCATATTTATCAGAGACCGACCGTACCCTTGCACTATATCCGTGTTATCAACCATGATCTTTTTCCCTAGCTGATGTGCGCCTGGATCCAGATACAGCCTACTCCCGCCTCATTGTGTCTGAGGACAGAAAATGTGTGCATTATGGAGACACCAAGCAGAAACTGCCAGACAATCCAGAGAGATTTTATCGCTATAATATTGTCCTGGGCAGCCAATGCATCTCCTCAGGCCGACACTACTGGGAGGTGGAGGTGGGAGACAGGTCTGAGTGGGGCCTGGGAGTGTGTAAGGAAGACGTAGATAGGAAAGAGGTAGTCTACTTATCCCCCCACTATGGCTTCTGGGTGATAAGGCTGAGGAATGGAAGCGAGTACCAGGCAGGCACCGACGAATACTCTCTCCTGTCTTTGTCAGTCCCTCCACGTCGGGTGGGGGTCTTCTTAGATTATGAGGCCCATGATATCTCATTCTACAATGTGACTGATGGTGGCTCCCACATTTTTACTTTCCCACGCTATCCCTTCCCCAGGCCCCTTCTGCCCTATTTCAGTCCTTGCTACAGCATTGGGGCCAACAACACTGCCCCTCTGACCATCTGCTCCCTGGATGAGGGGGAGTAAATGAGCAATCAGCCTAGCCAGAGGCCTCTGAATGTGACCTGGTCTACAGTGGTCTTAGAGGTTCCTCCCACCGACAAGTGTCCCTTTGAACAGAGCTGAGCCTGGAATCCAGGAATTCTGCCTGACCCAGTGGTCTCTTGCTACTAAGTCAAAGTCTGTCACTAAACTGCTCACATAAAAAAAACAGAGGTTTAGACAAGTGCACGTGGCTCCTATGAGAGAGAGATGTCAGGACTACCTGACCACCCACCGCCATCCCCTCTTAGAGCATGAACTGGGCAGATCACTGTCTCTCACCCCTCAGAGGGGGATGGCCATGCCACAGTCCCTTCTCCTCCGTTCTCCTCTCGGGATCCTAGGCACGCACGCACACATGCCCGGCGTGAGTTTTAAGCCACCGGGTCCAGGATGCGAACCACGGTCGACTACATGGGAGTCCAGCAACATAGCCATTACGCTAACTGCTGGTTCCCATAGACTCTTATCTCTTACCACTAACAAAAATCAACTCAAGATTGATTGAGGATCTAACATAAAACCTCAAACTATAAAGATACTAGTGGAAAACACAGGAAAAACTCTTGAAGATTTTGACCACACAAAGACTTCTTAAAGAAGATCTCCAAAGTGCAAGCAATAGTTCCAAAAATAGACAAATGAGACTATATTAGGCTGAAAGACTTCTGCACAGCAAAATAAACAATTAGTGAGAAGATAACCCTCAGAATGGGAGAATATATTTGAAAACTATACCTGATATAAGGGATTGATAACTAGAATATACAAGGAACTTAAGCTTTAGCTTAGCCACAGAAAAGTAAGTAATCCAATAAAAATATGGGGAAATGAGCTTAACAGACAATTCTCCAAAGACACAAATGGCCAAAAAGCATATGAAAACATGCTTGATATCTCTTACCATAAGGAAGACGCAAATCAAACTACAATGAGACACCACTTAACCTTTGAAAAAATGGCTAAAATTAAAAAAATAAATGATAAGTGCTGGCAAGGCTGTGGTGAAAAGGGAACTCTCTTACAAAGTTGGTGGGAATGCAAATTTGTACAACCACTGTGGAAAACAATATGGAGATTCCTCAGAAACTTAAAATAGAACTACCATATGACCCAGTAATTCCACTCTTAGGTATTTACCCAAAGGATAGTGAAACCCTCAGTCAGAAAAAACACTTGCTCACCCATGTTTATTGCAGCATTATTTACCATTGCTAGGGCGTAGAATCAATTAAAATGTCCAAAAATAGATGATTGGATTGAAAAAATGTGGAAAATGTACTCTATGGAATACTACTCATCCATAAAAAACAATGAGACCCTGACAGTTGATACAAAGTGGACTAGTTAATACTAAGTGTGAAGCAAACCAGAGTATGAAACACAGATTTTGTATGTCCCCAATTAATATATATTGAATGTCTGCACTATATAGCAGAAACTGAAAGTTTGGAAGGTATAATCATAGGGAGGGCAACTGTAGATATCAGACATAGTAAGGATAGAGGTAGCACGGGGTGGGTAATTTCTTCTACTGTGACTTTCACAAGTGGCTTGGAAGGGGAGAAGGCAGGTAGCCACACTGAGAGTAGCTGCTTCCTGTAATGCCTAGGGCTGCATCTCCACATGGTGTGATCATTCAACATGAGACAGTGACAAGCTTTGCCCAACCTTGTTTTCCTAGCAAAGAAAATGAAGGATGCGATACCTCAGCCTTTGCAGGACAGGTTGCTAAAATGGTAAAATGCTTGGGTCCTGCACAAGTAAGAGACAGAAGGGCAAATCCTTGGGTTCTAAACACTCCCCACAGGAAACCCAGTCTCCTTTTTTCAAGCAAGATTGGTTGTAATCTCTTAAAATTTAAGCACTTAGTCAACTGGGCATCCCAGGCACAATTCAATGAGTACATGTCAATTTTCATAGTAGGGCAGGGGGTATAATTGAATATGTTGTGAGAAGCACGGGGCTCCCTGTTTCAAGGTAGCCATGGCAATAAACCAATACACTAAGAAGTATGTGCTTCAGGAAATATTTGAGTACAAACAGTGAGTGCCAGCTAATTTCAGTGATACAGATAAGACAATCCTATCCATAGAATACTGGGAAGAAATTTATGTTTGGGGTTCAGGTTGGACTATACCTTTGTCGCTTAAATCAGTTTCTAATATGTACCTAATATTATTTTATTTAATAGACATAGTCAATTCTTCTGATTGCTTATGGAGAATGAATAGTGTAACTTTTCAATACAGAAATCATATCAAATATATTTAATCACCTTTTGAACTTTTGTTCTCATACTTGGGGTTAGCAAGAGGTCGAGTTTCATTTTATAGTTCTTGAGACCACAGTGCCTCATAATCAGATTTTAAAGAGGTTGATTCCTACTCTTCTGATATTTTGAAACAAAATACAATCACTCAGTAGGTAAACAAGTTCAATATTAGCAGAAGGTATAGATGCTAACTTATTAAGCAAAGGGCCATTTAAAAGAGTTATGTGTGTACTGGTTTATACAGGGCTACAGTTTGAGTAATACCTAGAATTGCACCTAAAAATTCTGGAATTAGAAATATATTGGAGGCAGCCTTGTAGAACAACTGTGAAGTGCTGTGCATCAAAGCCAGATCTATGGATGATGGTGATTTGAATACCAGCTCAAGCAGCTTGAAAAACATGTTGGGCATGTGTGCAAGTATGTCCAAAATCCTGACAAGATGGATAAAGGGAGGAGAAAGGATCATGGTGTGTCCATGTCTCACTCCTTCTCTATTACTGGTGAGAGTACACATCCACTGAGAGAAAAAAATAGAAAAAGAAACAAATGTAGTAGGTATATTCTTTAAGAATATACAATATGGTCAATCTGAGGTGTGTCCTGCCTTGTTCAGGGACCAAGGCAACTAAATCTCTGCTCAAAAGACTGCAGAGTGAGCAGCAGGGAAAAGTATACTACAGAGAGCATGGCTCATCTCCTCCTACATGTCTCTGAACTCTCAGTTGAAACCCCACAGCTCAGCCCAGGTGTAGCTATTCCCTAGAAACTATGAAGCCTTTGTTATATCCAGTTCCAAAGTCAAAAGTGCAGGTTACTTGGTGAACATCAGGGAAACAAAACTGCAGAGAAATCGAAAATCACCTCCCACACACCTCTTAACACTTAGAATTAACTCTGAGAACTTAGGAAGAAATGTATAATCCATCAGATGACCAGAAACCACCACAGAGGCACAAGAGATATGAGAAACTGAGAAAATATCTCTCCCCCAAGGGAAAGAACAACACTACATCATTCACAGACAGTACAATAGAACTCATGGAAATGTCCAATAAAGAATTCAGAATATTCATAGTGAAGAAACTAAACAAGATGCAAGAGATGAGAGACAATGAACTCCAGAAGGTGGAGGAGAAAAGATACAATGAGTTCCAGTATGTGAGGAAGTTCTTTCATAATTTGAAAGAAAAAATACATGCCATAAAATAGAATCAAATGGAGCTGTTAGAGATGAAGACTATTAACACACAAAATCAAACCTCCCTCGAAAGTATTAAAAGCAAATTAGATCATGCAGAAGATTGAATCTCGGGATGCTGAAGACAAAATTTCTGACTTAGAAAAAAATTACCAAAAAGATTGATAAAATAACTTTAAAAAAATGAGCATAACACACAAGAAATACTAGCTACCATTAAGCACCCAAACATCCAGATAATCAGTATCCCAGATGGTGAAATGGTTTTTTTGCTTATTTGGTTTTTTTGTTTTGTTTTTGTTTTTTTGTTGTTTTTTGTTTTGTTTTGTTTGTTTTTCTTTTTCTTTTTTTTTGTTTTTTTTTTACTGAAACATAAACTTTTCTCCCTTCCTGATCCCTCTGGAATTGTGAGTATACTTACTTTGTGGCAGAAGGGTTAATTGAATAAATTCAATAATACCTTTTGCCTTGCATCAGAAATTGGAATTATTCATTATTGCCAGGGCTTTGACTAGAATGTCATATGTAAAGATATGACCAGAAAACCATGGAGCTACAGTAGATCTCAAGAAAGCCAACAGGAGCTCTTGGAAAGATTGACTGGCACCATAAACAGTTCTGCCTGGCAAAGAGGATTAGAGAAGCCATATAATAGGATTTGTACCATAAAATAACCTGGACTTTTCCAGTATTGTAATCAGTAGAGATTGCAAAAGAGCAGCCACAACCAGAGGATTACCTTGAAGAAGACTTTGAAAAAAGAAAAAGAGACTGATCTTTGCCTAGCAGATGGTAAACCACAGAATACTTGGTAGGCAGAACCGAGTTGGGAAGGTTCATGTGTGAATTGTGTGCAGGATGTTTCCTTCTCAACAGTTTGAGTAGATGGCATGTAAATATTTTCTCAAAAATATTTAAAACCATATTGTCCCTATTGTTATAGAGTCACAAACAAAATTATAACAAATATTTTGAAAGTTATTAAAATTTAGTTTTTTGGAATTTTTGAAAGTTGTTTATTCAATGTCAAGAACTATGGAATATGAAAAAAAAAATTTGACCTGTAAAGTAAATGTTTATAGGAAAATGTAAAAAAATATACTTAAAAAAGTTTAAAGAATATGAAAAAGTAATATATAAATAAATAATGTTTTAAAAAAAGAACATACACTATGTTTGGTGATGTGATATGTCCTTTCCACTCATTGTTTCACTTAGTCATCAATACCCTTTATTAATTAACATTGTTTCCCCTATAATTAGAAAATATTAAGATTCAGCTATAATACCTAGCTATCAACATAGCTCTCCTTACATATCAAATTTTAATGCTATTAGGAAAATAGCTTTTTACTAAGATTTTTAAATGCACCAGGACTCAAATATATGCATCTCTTACATATGAGACTTTTTCTTTTCACATACACCAACTACTCATTTTAAGATTTTCCAAAAATGAAAAATAAAAACAAAGTGTACAAGTATCCAGTGACCTGAAAAAGAGTAGTGACATTTTATTTTCTGGATCTGCATCACTTTCTATTAATCTTAACCTTTACTTCAAAGACCATACTTTTTATTTTTGAGAGGTTTTTGCTACAGGGCATGCATGCTCGCCAGAGAGACGAGAGACAGAAAGCAAGAAATCACCCCCGGGGGGAATGGCCATGCCGCAATCCCTTCTCCTCCATTCTCGTCTCGGGATCTTGGGCATGCACACACATGCGCTCAGCATAAGTTTAAGCCACCGGGTCCAGAACTTGAACTGCCGTCGACTAAATGGGAGTTCAGTGATATAACCATTATGATAACTGCTGTTCCCCCAAGACTACACTTTTGAAGAGGTTCCTATGCAAAGTAAAGCCTGTGCTATATGTGATACCTCTTGTCTCTGCCTTAAGGTTGAGTTACACAGAGCAAGATTAGTAAACGAAAAGAAAGCCATCCAAATCAAACTAATATTGACTTAGCTTCTGCACTTACAGACAGAAAGCTGGTAATTAGTACACTGACTCCAACTAGCTTAATAACAGGGGATACATTGAAAGCATATAAAGCTATCACACAGAACTTAGTAACGTACCTTGGTAGCCTAAGTCAATTGGAACCAGAGATTCACTGTCTTCATCCCATCTCACCAATTGGCTTCTCCTGCTGTGGACTGGTTTCTATTTTTAAGTTCATGTGTTGGGTTAAAATCCATTTTGGCTGGAAAAGTACTCTGGTCTAGGTGTGAGCACCTGACTCAAGTGGAATGAATTCATCAATGGGACAGGAGATGGGGTTGTGTTTTGAGTTCTTCCATATATTTACATGAGAAGAGAAACAATTCTGAGAAAATCAGCCCAGTGTGTGGTTTGAGGATAAAAGTACCAACTTTTTTTTTTTTTTAAAAGGACTAAGTGGAAATTAGGAAGGCGTAATCCCAAGTGTATATTTTTTCTCCAAGATTATCTCTGACTCAGATACTAGTTGATTGAAACCATTAATAATATAGTCAAAATTATAATTACTTCATCTGTATTCTTGTTAGAAATTGAAACATTATGCCAGAATATCCTTTATAGCTTCATCTTTTTTAAGAATCATTTTATTTTCTTTCTTTATTATTATTTTATTTTCTACAGGGCACATGCAGTCACCAGAGAGACAGAGAGAGAGAGAGAGAGAAAGTGAGAAAGCAAACTTCCAGGTCCAGTACTCAAACCACAGTTGGCTATGTGGGAGTCCAGTGCCGTAACCACTACACCACCTGCTGGCCCCTATAGCCTCATCTTTAAAATCCTATAGCACCTCTAACAAATGCAGTTTCAAGGCATCTGTGAAGGTGGTATAAATGATCAATCTTTGAACACACATTTTGTGTTTATGAACCCCCATTAGAGTGCTCAAAAAGGCAGCGCATGAGCAAACTCCATGTTCTCTCCCGCATTTGTTTTGTCCTCATGCCATAGATGATGGGATTGAAGGTAGGTGGGATGATCAAGTACAAATCAGCTAACAGAACTTGGGTGTGCAAAGACACCATATCCTGCCCTTGCCAAGCTATATAGATGGATACCATCCCAGGTAGGTAGTACAGTGCCATAACAGCTACATGAGAGCCACAAGTGCTTAATGCTTTCACCTGAGCACTCTTTGAGGAAAGACCAAACACTGCCCTGAGAATCAGGACATAGGAGGCAGCAATGAAGGCTACATCAGAACCCACAATAATGGAGGAACCAATGAGACTGTAGAGACTGCTGGGCAAGGGGTCAGCACATGCCAACTTGGCCACAGCTATGTGCTCACAGTAGGAATGGAGGACCACATTGGAGCCACAGAAAGGCAGATGGCTCACCATCCAACTCAATGGAGTCATGAATATGACAGCTCTAATGGTGATGATCACATTCAATGCCAGCATCACTTGAAGTGTAAGAATTCTCTTGTAGTGTAGGGGTTTGCAGATGGCTACATAGCGGTCAAAAGCCATGGCCAGTAGTAGCCCTGACTCCACAGCTGTGGCTGAATGAACAAAATACATCTGAGTGAAACAACCATGAAAGCTGATGGAGCTGTCTCTGGAACAGAAGATGCTCACCATCTTGGGTACCACTGAGGAGGCCATAACAATGTCCACAGCAGCCAGAACACACAGGAAGCAGTACATGGGCTCTTGCAGAGAGGAATCCATCCAAATGATGGTCATGATGAGGGTGTTTCCTAACAGGGCTATGGTATACATGGCACTGAGTGAGATAGCCAGCCAAAGATGTGATGACTGCAAACCTGGGATTCCCACAAGGACAAAAGTGGCAGGAGTTTCTATTGTGTGGTTGTAGGGTGACCCCAGCATTATGGCTGAGAAGCTCTCCTGTTAAAACATAACATAATATAAGTAAAGAATGCAATCCTGTAAGATTTGCCTCCATCTGTGGTGTTAGGAAAACCTGGGTATATTCTCAGCAAACTGACCTGTTCGTATCAGAAAACTATATCTAAGTTACCCTGTTCACATTCCAACATCATCTATATTCTTTGCCTTCCCTTCTTTGTCAGGTGACAAGAATATGGGTTACCTGCTTTGGCCATTTCAGGTGACTCACCTAGGATGGGTGAGTTCTCAGGTAGTTAGGTGCCATTCTTCTGAGCTTCTAGGGAACCTCCCATATTGTCCTCTAAGGAACTATTTTAATTCTAATACTCCACCTATTATCATACTGAATTTGCTCAAGTCTGTGTATCTTCTTCATAGCATTATACCAGATAAGTGATTCCTGATGATAGTACACAAGTCCAGTAAAAGCAAGCATGTGTATTCATTATAGTAATGATGAATGATATATCTGAGAATATTACTTGTCTTTTGGTGCTTCATCACTGATAATAATTGCTGATAAAATAATGAACTTGGACCAGTCAGTGTCATGGTGGTTAAGGCAGAATAATCCTCCATGACTGACTGCAAGGTTCAAGTCCCATACCTATGACTTGAAAAGCACACTGGTCACATGTATACGTGTGCCCAAAACCCAGAGAAGAGAAATAGGAGAACAGGTTGGGAAAAAAATGTACCCCATGGGGAGTGCACTTTTTCTCTCTCTCTTTCTCCCTTCCCCCTCCAGTGAGTGCATGTGCCTTCTAGAAAATTAAAAAATAATGAACTTTGGGCCAGGAGTTGGTGTGGAAGTTAAGGCCTTGGATCTCATGTGGCCAACTCCACAACTTGAGTCCCAGACCTGGCAACTTGAAAATCACTCCAGATGCATGTGCTTGCATGCCCAAAATCCTGAGGATACTGGAAAAGAAGGGATTGCAGTGTGACCATCTCCCCTGGAGAGTGATCTCTCTCTCTCTTCTCTCTCTCCCTCTTGTGAGGGCATGTGCCCTGAAGCAAAACCAAACAAATAAATTAACTTCTTGAGGTCAAACATCATGTTTTATATCCTCTATATAATGCCTTCACAAAACATGTATCCTTGTGGTTGTAGAAATATATTCATGGCTTCATAAAAATAAAGTCATTAGAAAAATGATATTTTTGCCTTTAATGGGAGAATAATACACTATGGAAATATTTGCAATCCTACCATCTCTAAATTCCAACTTCAATTTCCTACATGCTAGCTGCAATTAATAAATAAACACAAATAAAACTTTAAAGTTACCTTATATGGGGAAGAGGCTCTACCCCAATAAGAGTTTTTACAATAATTTTAAAATGTATCTCTTTCCTACTCCATACTAAACTAATAAAACATTGCAGACAAGTTTATTATATAAGAAGTGAAACACTTTTAAATGAACATAGTGCATGCTAGTGCTATGTGGTAAAGTGTAGTGTTTATAATCTAAGTGTGTTACTCCATTTGAATAAAAAGGACGTATGTTTCATAAAATGCAACTGATATCATTTAAATAAAATTAAATATTTCCTTCAAGATCACAAGTATATGGTACATTTAAAATTTATTCTAGGTCTTTCCAGCTGTGACTTTCAGGTGTCCATTCAGCCTAAGACTAGTAGTCATTAAAACAACTGTGGATAATAATTTTTTACAGACTACACCACGTCACTTCATGACTCAAAGAGCAACCACTCTGCACAGCCAGGAGTTGAGCTCTAACACCTGTTGACTGATTTCTGTTCAATACTACATCCGTCCTCCATCTGCCTCACTCAAGGATGAGAATATCATATAATACATAATAATCTGCTTGAGTAAACCTTATTGTGTGCGGTTAGCACTAACTGCTATGATTCCTGTGTAATATCCATTTAGTTACTTCAGAATGCATGGTTTCCATGAGTTCATGCAGACTTTGGCATGTACACATCCCCCCCAGCCATCTGCAATCACTCCTTACAAGGTACTTGTTTTATTCTAATTTATGCAACTTTGGGAAACATTAGTTGAATTACTTCAGGAACACCTATTTTTTAGTTCTTTAAAACACAGAACAAAAATCCTGTATATACCCTTCTCAAACTACATTGTTGGTCCTGCATCATTAAGAAACAGAATAGCAAAATTGCTAAAAATATTCATTCTAGCTTCCAATTCCCTCAACTACAAACCCTCCTCTGTTATCGGCTAGTCATTTTTCTTTGGTTAGATTGTATAAACTCTTCAAGCAAATACTCAATGGTATGTTAGTCCCTACATCATAGAGATGTTTTGAAATTTTAATTAGAAGACATGCAAAATGCTTAAAGTTTGGTACATAGGTACTCAACATATGCAGCTAATAAAATATAAAGCTATTTTCTCTGCATAATGCTACGATTAAAGAATGTTCCAAATAAAAAATAAGGGGGAAAAAAGCAGATCAACATGCATCATCTTGATGCTTTTCTCTTATCCTCCCATGATCTGCCCCTAAATGTGTCTCACTCACTAGCTACACACAACAAGGCTCTTTTAATCCCACCATGACAAGGAGCTCCTCATCTGCTTTTTTCTTTCTTTCTTTCATCATCATTTCAGTGGAGAGGTCTCCTTCATTTACCTACAACCCATCTTTAATAAGAAAACCTGAGAGTTATTCACATCTTCGCTACTGTGTAACAACTCATACCAAATGAAAATCAGATTATGGATGCAATGGGAGTAGATATAACAAATGTCTTCTATCTAGACTAAATTACTATACTAACTATTTTTCCAATTGCCATCTTAATTCCTAGGGACACGGACATGTGGCTTAACCTCAGACCTGGACTCAGGATCACAATCTGGACCAGACATGTCAACTACAATTTATGTCTTTCCTCAAACCCTCATTGCTTTAATATTGCATCTCTTTAATATTGCTTGACCTAGTAGCTCAGCACAACTCGTGTTGCCACAACTATTGGATCACTTGAATTAACAGGGATCATATACTTTTCAAAAACAGTTTCTTAGGTCTTCAGAATGTTTATTTGTCAGACCTCATGACCAGCTTGCCTTTACCTATCAATTCCTGTGCCTGTCCTCCACAAAGGGATTCCAGACTGAGAAGTTGTCATAGCCCTTCCAGTAGATGGAGTGTACTTTTAAATTTCTTATCAGACTCCTACTCCCACTTTGAATAATTGGATAGACCTCATTGATGGAATTCTCTGCACTCAGGATCCCATCTGCTTTACTAGACATTTTCTGTATTGGCCAAGCACTAGACCATTATTTCTTTGATCCTCAGTCCTAACCTGGGACATACATTTGCCCCTTCAATTTTCAAATTCACCTGCAAAGCCTGGCATTGACTGACTGTTCCAGGTTCTAGCAACAGATTTAGTGAAAGGCCTATGAACTTTCCTGTAACGCCAAATTTCTGAGAACTGATTACAAACTGTGGTCCTTGTTGAAACCAACCAAAAACTAACAAAAAGAAAACCCTAAACATAATACTATATAATGGAATATACTGAGTACAGTAGTAAATTCTGCATCACAGCTAAATTATAATAAACTAGCTGTGTACAACCATTGGGGAAGATATCTTGATGTATAGATCATAAGACAAAGAGGGCTCATGAAGCAGAATGATGGTGAAAACTAAACTAAAAGCTATCTCTTAACTAAACTTCAAGGTATCTTTAAGACTGCTGCATGTGTTCTGCATGCCACAAACTCAGGGAGTATCACTGCTTTAAGAGAGCTAAGAAAAATCTGAGCCTCCAGAATGTCTGCTCCCCATTAACCTCTGAACCTGGATCTCTGTCTCCTGACTGCCCTACAAGATAACATTTCTTCCGAGGGAACCCGCAACTGATGCACTCCCCATTCCTCCTCTCTACAGCCAGGTGTCTTCTAACTGGTCATATATTTTATAACTTTGTGAGTGTTTATTTCTTTATTTGCATTTCTTCTTGATTAGACCACTGGTAATTTACATATTAGTACTTTCAAAGAACATAATATGCTATTTGGTCAGTTGTTTCTTTTATAAAACTTTTATTGCAGGGTCAGCAGATGGCATAATGGTTATGTCATTGGACTCCCACATAGTTGACCATGGTTCGAGTCCCAGACCTGGTGACTTAAACTCATGCTGGGTGTGTGTGCATGCATGCCCAAGACCTGAGAGAAGAATAGAGGAGAAGGGATGGCAGAATGGCCATTCCTCCTAGGAGGGGGCGGTCATTTTTCTCTTTCTGTCTTTCTGGCGAGCACATGTGTCCTATGGCAAAAATCTCTCTTAAAAAATTTTAAAAACCACTTTCATTTCACTTGATCTATATTCACTGAAAATTTTCTTCCATGGATCAACAGTCATGTTCATCAAGGATCCATTGTTCATCTAGTGATTCTTTTCACTTTTTATTTAACCTCTCCAAAAACTCTTACATTACTACCTTTTCTCTCATCTTTTATCAATTCGATTGAAATATATGTACTGCAACTAAATAAATCTCTTCTCTGCAGTTTATTAATTTTTATGTGAACATTTGAACATATCCTCATAGCCACTACCCATATCAAGATACAAACAGCAGTGTTTTCTGGTCGTAGAGGTGTCCAATTTTCAGAAGACTCTGCTCAAGATCTCATATGATGTATTTGCAGCCTAGTACCTGCCCCTGCCTTCAACCTTGAAAAGACATGAAAACTTGGATGGTCAATCACCAAGAACTAGCTTAGACCTTCACTTAACTTCACAAACTAAATTATAGAATATGTGAGGATTTGGGCCAGCAGGTGGCGTGGAGGTTGAGGTACTGGATCCCACCTAGCCAACTGTGCAGTTTGAGTCCTGGATTCCGTGAATTGGTAATCATACTAGGCACATGTGTATGCATGCCCAAGATCCCAAAAGAAGAACAGAGAAGAAGAGATTGCAGCATGGGCATGGTGGTGCCTCCTTGGGGTGATTTCTCACTCTCTC